GAATCTAAAAGATACACCAATAGATGTGAAAGATGCTTCGTTTTCTCCTGGAAAGCCCCTTGAGACTACCCCTATGGAAATAGAGGATTCTGCTCCAGCAGTTAATCAAACCCCGCTGGAAAATATCGAACCTGGTGAAGAGGCTCAAGGGCTACGAAGGTCGGGACGTGTACGTCGCCCACCTAACAGTTTGGGAGATTACTGTCTCTGATATTTTAGAAGGGGGAGATTGTAGTGATACTGGCCTGTGGGGAGCAGCAGCAGGATAATACTGCACCACCTCTAGGGGCCCTTAACAACAACAACAGTTTGGTGTGTGTCATGGGCACCAACACATGGTGTGTGATTCTCTCCTACTTTATCCATTTATCAGCGATGCAGATTACATGGTGAGTTTAAATATGTGGCCTGTAGTTATAACTTTTCTCTTGACATATGCAAGACATCACCATCCCTGTAGAAGCCATTATTAGATGTACTAGTCATTATATTTTGTTGTTGCAGAAGTACTATGAAGATTCTATGTTCAATAAAGCCTAGAGATAAGGCCTGTGTTTCTATCACAACACTGGGATAACCCAAAAATGTCAGACAAAGTGATTTATTTCCATTGGGGTCCTTAGCCTGGCCAGTAGGCCTGCTGCAGTGCTCTTCCGTTTTTATATTCTTACGTTTATTTACAGTAGAACCTGCGTATGCAGAGATTCGGTTTCTACAGTTTACCGTGGCCTGAAAATATCCTTTAATTTAGCTTAATAATGGTGCCAAGACATGACAGTAGTGATGGTGGCAGTTGTTCAGAGACTAAGACATGACAGTAGTGATGGTGGCAGTTGTTCAGAGACTAAGACATGACAGTAGTGATGGTGGCAGTTGTTCAGAGACTAAGACATGACAGTAGTGATGGTGGCAGTTGTTCAGAGACTAAGACATGACAGTAGTGATGGTGGCAGTTGTTCAGAGACTAAGACATGACAGTAGTGATGGTGGCAGTTGTTCAGAGACTAAGACATGACAGTAGTGATGGTGGCAGTTGTTCAGAGACTAAGACATGACAGTAGTGATGGTGGCAGTTGTTCAGAGACTAAGACATGACAGTAGTGATGGTGGCAGTTGTTCAGAGACTAAGACATGACAGTAGTGATGGTGGCAGTTGTTCAGTAGACTAAGACATGACAGTAGTGATGGTGGCAGTTGTTCAGAGACTAAGACATGACAGTAGTGATGGTGGCAGTTGTTCAGAGACTAAGACAAGCCATCAAGTGCTTCTCATTAGTAAAAAAGTGATAATTCTCCACTTACTGTGTGTAATTTATCAATTAAACATCATCATAGGTATGTAAGCAAAAAAATGACTTATACAGTGGACCCCCACTTTACGATCACCTCCCAATGCGACCAATTATGTAAGTGTATTTATGTAAGTGCGTTTGTACGTGTATGTTTGGGGGTCTGAAATGGACTAATCTACTTCACAATATTCCTTATGGGAACAAATTCGGTCAGTACTGGCACCTGAACATACTTCTGGAGTGAAAAAATATCGTTAACCGGGGGTCCACTGTATTCCTTATGGGAACAAATTCGGTCAGTACTGGCACCTGAACATACTTCTGGAATGAAATAATATCGTAAACCGGGGGTCCACTGTATACATATGGTTGGGTATTATCTGTGGTTTTGGGCATCCATGGTAGGTCTTGGAACATATCCCTCATGGGTATAGGGAGATTACTGTAGTCTTATCATTACAGGCCTATCAGAATGTGGGAGCCAAGATACAAGAGGACCTATCAGAAGCACCGGTGATCATAGGGGTGAAGCAGGTGCCCATTGATCAGCTTATACCCAACAGAACGTACTGTTTCTTCTCTCACACTATTAAAGCCCAGGAAGCCAACATGCCGCTCCTTGATGCTATTTTAGAGAAGGTAAGATCAGATAATATTTGTTAGCATTTTTTATCTGGGGAGGGTTAGCCACCCAGGATAACCTGGGGTGGGGAGGGTTAGCCACCTGGGATAACCTGGGGTGGGGAGGGTTAGCTACCCAGGATAACCTGGGGTGGGGAGGGTTAGCCACCCAGGATAACCTGGGGTGGGGAGGGTTAGCCACCCAGGATAACCTGGGGTGTGGAGGGTTAGCCACCCGGGATAACCTGGGGTGGGGAGGGTTAGCAACCCAGGATAACCTGGGGTGGGGAAGATTAGCAACCCAGGATAACCTGGGGTGGGGAGGGTTAGCCACCCGGGATAACCTGGGGTGGGGAGGGTTAGCCACCCAGGATAACCTGGGGTGGGGAGGGTTAGCCACCCGGGATAACCTGGGGTGGGGAGAGTTAGCCACCCAGGATAACCTGGGGTGGGGAGGGTTAGCAACCCAGGATAACCTGGGGTGGGGAAGATTAGCAACCCAGGATAACCTGGGGTGGGGAGGGTTAGCAACCCAGGATAACCTGGGGTGGGGAGGGTTAGCCACCCAGGATAACCTGGGGTGGGGAGGGTTAGCCACCCAGGATAACCTGGGGTGGGGAGGGTTAGCAACCCAGGATAACTTGGGGTGGGGAGGGTTAGCCTCCCAGGATAACCTAGGGTAAGGAGTGTTAGTCACCCAGAATAACCCAGGGTAGGGAATGTTAGCCACCCAGAATAACCCAGGGTAGGGAGAGTTAGCCACCCAAGATAACCCAGGGTAGGGAGAGTTAGCCACCCAGGATAACCCAGGGTAGGGAGAGTTAGCCACCCAGCATAACCCAAGAAAGTCGGTGGGTCTTCGAGGACTGTCTGTCTTATGTATTTCCATTGTAGTCGTTCAGTCATGTACCCCAGGATGCCACCCACACTGGTCACTTACTGCTAAGTGAACAAGTGACAGCAGGTGTATTAAAGAAACACGTCTTAATGTTTCCACCCATACCAGGCATCAACCCCCTGACCTGAGTGTGTGAGCTGAGAAATTAACATAGTATTTTGTGTTTTCAGAACATCCGGCTGCTGGACTACGAGCGTATGTGTGACAGGCAAGGGCAGCGTGTGGTGGCGTTCGGCAAGTATGCTGGAGTTGCTGGCATGATCAACATTCTTAATGGACTTGGTCTTCGTCTCCTAGCACTTGGGCATCACACACCCTTCATGGTATGTTACTAGTACTTGGGCATCACACACCCTTCATGGTATGTTACTAGTACTTGGGCATCACACACCCTTCATGGTATGTTACTAGTACTTGGGCATCACACACCCTTCATGGTATGTTACTAGTACTTGGGCATCACACACCCTTCATGGTATGTCATTACAGATACCCCCTCCATGATGGACAATACAGTGGACCCCCGCATAACGATCACCTCCGAATGCGACCAATTATGTAAGTGTATTTATGTAAGTGCGTTTGTACGTGTATGTTTGGGGGTCTGAAATGGACTAATCTACTTCACAATATTCCTTATGGGAACAAATTCGGTCAGTACTGGCACCTGAACATACTTCTGGAGAGAAAAAATATCGTTAACCGGGAGTCCACTGTACTGTACTGGCAGTACTGTACTGACAGTATGTTCTATCAGTTTTATTATCAGTAATTGTTATATATAATAATTAGTATAATCAGTAAATATTAAATCATTTGATTCCTGCAGCACATTGGACCCGCTCATAACTACCGAAACACGGAGATGGCAAGACAGTCGATTCGTGACACTGGCTATGAAATTTCACTGGGCATGATGCCCAAATCCATCGGTCCTCTGACGTTCATCTTCACTGGCACTGGGAACGTGTCACAGGGGGCCCAGGAGATAGTTCAGGAGCTGCCCTATGAGTATGTCTCTGTGAAGGCATTGAAGAAAGTCGCTGAACATGGAGGTAAGTCATTAGATGAATCTGAAACTCCTGAACGAAAGGACCGGATAGGGATTCAAACTGCTGTACATGGGGTGAGTAATGATGAGTGACCTAACTGGTCACAGACTGTACCATGATTACTGGAGGAAGGTTCAAACCTACACCACTAACTGGGCACAGACAAAGTTCAATATTTATTTCAGCTTAATACAATGTTTGTACAAAGATGGTTGACATGATACAATGTACAGAGATGGTTGACATTATACAATATTTGTACAGAGATGGTTGACATGATACAATGTTTGTACAGAGATGGTTGACATGATACAATGTTTGTACAGAGATGGTTGACATGATACAATGTTTGTACAGTGATGGTTGACATGATGCAATGTTTGTACAGAGATGGTTGACATGATACAATGTTTGTACAGTGATGGTTGACATGATATAATGTTTGTACAGAGATGGTTGACATGATACAATGTTTGTACAGTGATGGTTGACATGATACAATGTTTGTACAGTGATGGGTGACATGATACAATGTTTGTACAGAGATGGTTGACATGATACAATGTTTGTACAGAGATGGTTGACATGATACAATGTTTGTACAGAGATGGATAACATTTAGGTGTGCAGGCAGGAAGCCCATAGTTATACAGAGCATTTTTAGTTCAACTTACAATATATTGACTTTACGATGGTTCAACTTACGATAGTTCTACTTTACGATGGTTCGACTTACGATAGTTCTACTTTACGATGGTTCGACTTACGATAGTTCTACTTTACGATGGTTCGACTTACGATAGTTCTACTTTACGATGGTTCGACTTACGGTAGTTCTACTTTACGATGGTTCGACTTACGATAGTTCTACTTTACGATGGTTCGACTTACGATAGTTCTACTTTACGATGGTTCGACTTACGATAGTTCTACTTTACGATGGTTCGAGTTACGATAGTACTACTTTACGATGGTTCGACTTACGGTAGTTCTACTTTATGATGGTTCGACTTACGATAGTTCTACTTTACGATGGTGCAGCAGCAATTACTTTGGAGATGAAACTTAATTATCCAACATGAATGCAACAAATCCATAACTTGTATTCTTTCGTTTACTAGGAATTTTTATTGACCTAAGAAAAGCTTTTTGACACAGTAGACCACGGTATCCTACTCCACAACTTGACCATTATGGTATAAGAGGCCATGCGCTTGCATATTTCAAATCTTACCTTACTAATAGGTATCAGTATGTCACCATTAAAGACACAGCATCAACAACACAGCCACTTGATACTGGATTCCGCAGGGAAGTGTCCTTGGTCCCCTGCTCTTCCTCATATACATCAATGATCTTCCAAACGTATCTCGACACCTGAACCCCATTCTCTTTGCTGACGACACGACTTATGTCATCTCTCACCCTAATCTTGCAACCCTCAACACCATTGTTAATGAGGAGCTGATCAAAATATCGACTTGGATGACAGCCAATAAACTTACGCTTAACGTTGACAAAACCTACTACATTGTGTTTGGTAGCAGAGCAGGAGATGCGCAAATTAACATTAAGATCGACAACACTCTAATTACCAGGCATAATGAGGGCAAATTCCTAGCCTATACCTCGACAACAACCTGAACTTCAGCACCCATATCCAACACAAACCAAAAAAGTATCCAAAACGGTTGGGATCCTCTCCAAGATACGATACTACGTGCCGCAAACTGCCCTTCTCACACTATACCATTCACTTATATATCCATACCTCACCTATGCTATCTGTGCTTGGGGTTCAACTGCAGCAACACACCTAAAGCCAATAATAACCCAACAAAAAGCCGCAGTAAGAATAATCACTAGATCCCATCCCTGGCAACACATCCCCCCCACTCTTCATAGATCTAAACTTACTCCCTGTTCAGTACATCCACACTTACTACTGTGCAATCTACATCTACAGGACCTTAAATTCCAGTATTAACCTTGACCTAAAACGCTTTCTTGATAGTTGTGACAGAACCCACAGGCACAACACCAGACACAAACATCTCTATGACATTCCCCGTGTCCGACTAAACCTTTACAAAAATTCAATGTATGTCAAAGGCCCTAAAATCTGGAACACCCTACCTGAAAATTCCAAAACTGCAGACACATTCATCACTTTCAAAACTACCATCAGAAAACATCTTATCTCCCTGATACACCCTGTCAACTAATAATACGAATACCACCTGGTGGTTCACACTTACACTCACTCACCCATATTGACCATAAACAGAAATATCAATCTCAATCTCAAAATAATGAATCTTAACTAGTCTAAGTTGGCCTGTGATACTCCAATACTGAAACTATGTATAGTGCCAAAACAAAAGCATTCACATTGCTAAACTCACAACTAGTATTTAGTCACTTAGCCATAATACCAACTTATCTCATAATTCTGTAACATTTTAAACCTAAGATTTAATATAAGTCTGCCCGAAATGCCTAGCCATGCTAGGCGTTCTAGTGGTACACTCTGTAATTATTATTTTACTACATGTAAACCACACAATAACCAAATTCTGTAAACTCAGCATTGTAATCCTTATAGAGAATAAACTTTGAATTGAATTTGAATTTGAATTTGAATTTCAATACTGGTATTTAGTTACAGTAATTATTTATTTATTTACTTATTCAGTGACATTAGTTATTAATTTATTTATTTAGCATATATGTATTTATATTCTATTAAGATATTTTCAACTTACGATGAATTCACTGGAATGTAACCCCATTGTAAGTCGAGGAACACCTTCCTGTGCCTTTAACCCTTGCGGTCCAAACGTATACAACTACCATCCGACTTATGACCTGCTCGACTTACGACCACTGGACTTACAACCGTGTTTTTTTTGCCAAATTTCTGGGAAATAAACCAGTATTTGTGTTGTACACAGTGTTTATGCTAAACCTTACAGTATAAAACACAGTACTAACAACATAAAAAGTAAAGTAAAACATGAAATACCAAAATAAAACAATAAAATAAAGTCATTACAAAAATGTGTTGTTGATATTCAGTAGTAAAGTTCGACTTACGACCGGTTTCTCGGAACCGAACTCTGTCGTAAGTCGGACGGTAGGTGTACATAAGTTTTTTCAACATCTGAAAGTATGTAAAAAAATGTAGATCTTTTTTGTTTTACATTTGAAAATGTGTAAAAAAAACTTTTATATACTTTTTTTTTGTTATATTTGAAAATATGTAAAAAAAAGTAGTTCTGCTTTTGTAGCTACGAATTTGAACGTCGATCTTCATTCACATGTGTAGAGCTACAAAAGTAGATCTACGTTTTTTTTACATATTTTCAAATATAACTAAAAAAAGTAGATCAAAGTTTTTTTTACACATTTTCAAATGTAAAAAAAAAAAAATCTACTTTTTTTACATACTTTCGAATGTTGAAAAAACATATATATACGTTTGGACCGTTTACGGGTTAAGGTTTAACAGTGACATATTTACTGTTGCTGTAATTCTAAATGCTTGATCATGTTGGTGCTTGAAAATAAAGAATGGATCAGTGTTTTGCTTGAAAGAATTGTTTAACATCATTAATAATAATAATAATAATAATAATAATAATAATAATAATACAGTGGACCCTCGACTAACGATATTATTTCATTTCAGACGTCTGTTCGGGTGCCGTTACCGACCGAATTTGTTCCCATAAGGAATATTGTGAAATAGATTAGTCCGTTTCAGACCCCCAAAAATTCACGTACAAAAGCACTTACAAAAATACACTTACATAACTGGTCGAGTTGGGAGCTGATCGTTAGTCGAGGGTCCACTGTGATCTTTATTTCTGCATGTACATGTACAGTAAATCCTTAACTTACAAACATGTCAAGAATCTTTTGTATTGTGTATAATATAATAGAGGAAGTCTTCAACTTGAGAACACGTTGGTAACTTACGACTCTCTGACCGCGGGTTCTATCCCCATCCATGATATGGTTTGTTTGCAATCGTGTCATTACGATTTTGTGAGTCTTGTATTGTGTATAATAATGATATACACAGTATGGAAAATTTTCAACATGTTTGTAAGTCAGGGATTAACTATATGAGGTATACAGACCATAGCTGACATCAGTGACATACTATATAGAAAGTCCCTTGTTATGCAAAGCATTTCCCAAAACTTAGGTTAATTTTGTCCCCGGGATATGACCCACACCAGTTGGTGAAGGCTCAAACCTCCATCACTAACTGGTCACAGACCCTGCCATGTTTATTTCCCCTGGGTGACTTAGTTATTTTCTTTCTGTGAGCAGCGACCAACAAGATTTATTGTTGTGAGGTGAGCCGTCGTGACCACTTGGTTCGTAAAGACAGTGGACAGTACGATGCTGTTGAATACGAAGAACATCCTGAGAGATATATCTCTGTCTTTGCTCATAAGGTCAGTATTTATTGCTCACAAGGTCAGTATTTATTGCTCACAAGGTCATTGTTCTGCTTACAAGGTCATTATCCTACTTATATGGTCATTGTCCTGCTTACAAGGTTATCCTGCTCACATGTTCATTGCCCTGCTCACAAGGTCATTGTCCTGCTCACAAGGTCATTGTCCTGCTTACAAGGTCATTGTCCTGCTCACAAGGTCATTGTCCTGCTCACAAGGTCATTGACTGCTCACAGGTCATTTTGTCCTGCTCACAAGGTCATTGTCCTGCTCACAATGTCATTGTCCTGACTTACAAGGTCATGTCCTGCTCACAAGGTCTTTGTCCATTGCTTTAAAGTATTGTCCTGCTCACAAGGTCATTGTCCTGGAGTTTACCTGGAGAGAGTTCCGGGGGTCAACGCCCCCGCGGCCCGGTCTGTGACCAGGCCTCCTGCTCACCAAATTAATTTCTTATCATAACGTCATTTTTCTTAGTCATAAGAACAATTTTCATGACTGTATGATAATTTTTCTTACTGGACAATAACAAAAGTATGGCAAGCCAACCCTGAATCATACAACTTTTCACTGTATATACAGACTGTATATATTTTCACTGTACATAGAGACTGTATATTTTTTTTTTCAACAAGTCGGCCGTCTTCCACTATTACAACCCAGGAGTCCAAATGGCCTGTTATCCTGGGTGTAAAGGGATTTAGATTTTGCCACCGAAGTGGCTAGTTTATTGTGCACCCCATATCCATCCTGTGGACGGTAGCGCGAGAGCATATGGATACACAAAAGGCCTAGGAACTAGGCCCCCAAAGGGTTAACAGGAATACATATGGATTTATATCTATATATCTATAGTTCACTTATCTGTTACAAGCAAATTTAGGAAATTTGCTTAGTATATCTGGTATCTTATTTTCATTAATAAGATATCTTGACATGTCACATAGGTTATTATACTGTCTGTCTCTGTATTCCGGGAGCCGGAGCAAAATAAACACAGCAGAAAAGTTTTGACTTATATTATCCTTCACCAATTTAGAACAGCAGTATGTACACTATATACACTATGTACAGTGATAGGTATTAGTGCACTCCACGGTAAGCAAGGCAGAATAAAAGCCACAAGAGAGCAGACCATGCTTCAACCAGCTCTAGAATGGGAATGACAAGGGCAGACAGGAGAGTGGTACCCACATAACCTCTGCGATTGCCAAAACCATCTTCTTATTGGCTGGAACCTGGTCACTAGTTGAACGACGGGGCCCCATCGTCAGCTCTTAGTCACCTGGTTCGCTAGTTGGGGGAGATAGACTGTTAATGAGGGTGTGTACATGCGCCGAATAAAGGTTACGTACTTTTTGCATGCCACACCCACCGAGGCAGGGTGACCCACCGAGGCAGGGTGACCCACCGAGGCAGGGTGACCCACCGAGGCAGGGTGACCCACCGAGGCAGGGTGACCCACCGAGGCAGGGCAACCCACCGAGGCAGGGCGACCCACCGAGGCAGGGCAACCCACCGAGGCAGGGTGACCCAAAAAAGAAAGAAAATCCCCAAAAAGAAAATACTTTCATCATCATTCAACACTTTCACCACACTCACACATTATCACTGTTTTTGCAGAGGTGCTCAGAATACAACAGTTTAGAAGCATATACGTATAAAGATACACAACATATCCCTCCAAACTGCATATATATATATTTTCACTATATATACTAGAACTTGTATATATCTTCACTGTTTATAAAACTTTTTGTCTTTTCACTGTATATAGAAGTTTTGTATCTTCTCACTGTACGTAGAGCGTGTATATTTTTCAGTAATTTCACTGATTGTTTCAGGTGGCGCCATATGCCACGGTGATCGTCAATGGTATATACTGGGCAGTGAACTCACCCAAACTTCTGACCATTCCTGATGCCAAGTACCTCCTACAGCCTGTATACACTCCCTGGCTCCCTACCAGTGTAAGTTACTGTCTTTATACAGCCTCTCCTCACTTGATGGAGTTCCGTTCCTAAGACCATGTTGGTAAACTAAACACAAATAACCCGCATATAGAAGAGAGAAGCTTACAACGACGTTTCAGTCCGACTTGGACCATTTACAAAGTGACTTTGTAAATGGTCCAAGTCGGACTGAAATGTCGTCGTAAGCTTCTCTCTTCTATGGGCGGGTTATTTGTGTATCGTTCCAGTCACGGTATTGTGGCTTTTTTTGTTATTTTGGTAAACGAATTTGTTGCTAAATGAGGAGCATACTATAATGGTAGTGGGTTTGTGTCACCCATCTTATTGTTGTTTTAATGTCACCTTTGCACCATCTATAACATTTCTGGTATATTTTTAAATGTTTATACAGTAGTGTACTGTATATTGTAATAAACAGAATACAGGAAATCGGCTCTAATATACATTACACCTACCATCCGACTTACGACTGAGTTCGGTTCCGAGAAACCGGTCGTAAGTCGAACTTTACTACTGAATATCAACAAAACATTTTTGTAATGACTTTATTTTATTGTTTTATTTTGGTATTTCATGTTTTACTTTACTTTTTATGTTGTTAGTACTGTGTTTTATACTGTAAGGTTTAGGATAAACACTGTGGTACAACACAAATAACTGGTTTATTTCCCAGAAATTTGGCAAAAAAAAAAACATGGTCGTAAGTCGAGTGGCCGTAAGTCGAGCAGGTCGTAAGTCGGATGGTAGGTGTATTTAGGTATACATACTAGTCAGAGGCCCATTGTAAGTCCGAGCCGTCGGTAAACGAGTACGTCCGCTAAGTGAGGAGAGGCTGTATTTACACAAGGGTATTTATCGGGTTGGGTTAAAAGTATCTTTCTTTATTTACAAGAGCTGTTACTTAACTTCAGCTCATTTGAAAGCCTTTTTATTGTTATGACCACAATGGAAATAGGTCACTTTGACTGTTTTGGGTTATCCTGGTGGGTAGTTTACCACTATGTATGGTAATTGTACTATGTGTACCTGTACCCAAATGAGCTTACTTACAATAGAATGAAATTGTAGCCATGTGTGGGCCAGCAATTTCATTTGGTCAACTGGCTCTATTTCAGTTATGTTATGTTGTACAAACATGTTTCCATTTTTCAAATCATCTTAGGATAAAATGATCTCAGAAGAAGTGATGTTCTGGAGAAGGGTACAGTCAGAGTGTAGTTGCTGCTTGCTGTCTGTCTTGTGGTATAGAGTGTAGTTGCTGCTTGCTGTCTGTCTTGTGGTATAGAAACTCACGTCTCTCTGTCCGGTGAGTGGAAGTTCTTTAACACTGTTAACATAACAGTAGGGCTGCTCACATCCCTCCGGTGTTGAAGGTTCTGCTGAAATGACAGATCTGTCCAGGCTGGGTCCAAACAAGAGATAAGTCATCTTGCTCTGTTCTCTGTTCTGTCGAGAAATCACAGATGAGACATGAGGCAGGCAATCCAAGAAAGTGGAGCATTCTCAAGGTGTGAGCAGTGTCAGGAGCCCAAGACTGTTCAACTGCCTCCCAGTATACATAAGGGGGATTACCAATAGACAGCTGGCTGTCTTTAAGAAGGCACTGGACAGGCACCTAAAGTCAGTACCTGACCAACCAGGCTGTGGTTTGTATGTCAGTTTGTGTGTGGCCACCAGTAACAGTCTGGCTGATCAGACCCTGATTCACCATGAGGCCTGGTCTCAGTCCAAGCCGTGGGGGCATTGACCCCCGAAGCCCTCTCCAGGTAATACAGAGTCTTGCTGCCTCTACTGTTTAGAGTCAAATTTTACCCCAGGGATATCAACCCCATCCCAGGGCACCAACACTCTCCCATTCATTCTTGCTGCTGCTCCAGCATTACTATCATGGTGCCTAGAAACCATCATCTGTGTTTTTTTTTGAAGAAAATGGCCAACCCGCCAAAAATTTTTCCCCCGGCTAATAAAGCTGTAAAACTTGGGGAATTTATGTAATTGAGCAGCTAGCATTTCCTCCCCCTGGATAAGTGAAAATTAAGTACAGTTTCTTCCCTTACATTTGGGAAAAAAGGAAAGATGGGAAGGGCAATTTAAAAAAAACTCTCCATAAAAAAGACAAGAAAACTTCCCTGTGGTACACTGGGACAGTAGTGTGTCCTGTTGTTTTGTTCCAAGGAAGAGAAATTTTTTTAAAAAATCTACCCCTGAAAACTAAAACTTAGAATTTACCCTTTGGGGGTAAACCCCTGAGAAAACATAGTGTAATTTTAGCTTGGAACTCCCCAGTGCGCAAGTTTTTGGCCCGGAAATCCCTTTGCCTACCAGTGGAAAATGTTGCAATGGCCCCGTGCTACTTCCCCAAAACTGACTGTGGATTCATTTTAGTTGGGCGGGCCAAATTGTGGAGAATTTAACAAAAGATTTTTTGTTTTTTTTTAAAATTTTGCCAACCAAAAAAGGCTAGTTTGTTTGGGCACCCTTTTTAAACCTGTGGATGGGTTTGCACAAGAGCATTTGGATACACTAAAGGCCCCAGGAACTAGGCCCCAAAAGGGTTAACAGGTGTAAATATGGGTTGGTTTTTGTTTAAAAACAGATCGGCAAAAGGTGCCTTTTCTGAAGCCTATTGACGGTCAAAAGAAGGGAGTGTTGTGGAAAAAAACTCATCCCCAAACTGTTGGGGGAAATTTTTATCACAGGAATTTTTTTCTTTTGGGGTTTTACAAGAATGCACAAGTTTTGGTTTTGGGGGTATTTTCCCCCTTTGCTCTTCTTTTTTTGAACAGGGAAAACCCTTTGCCTCTTCCCCAGAGAAAAGGCTATTTAAAACTAATAGGGAGGCGTTAAAAATTTCAATTTGAATTTTCTTCTTTGCTGGTTGCAAATCTACTCGTAATCTTGGGGGGTCACCTATCGGACCCAAAAGCCTTTTTTTTTTTCCCCCCTCTCGGGGGAAAGCTCATTTTTGTATTTAACAGTTCCTTGCCTTTTGGGCTTAGTGCCTATTTTTTTAAAAATTTTTTAAAAAATTTTTTAAATTTTTAGGTGTGGTTTTTGGGTTGACGCAAACCGGGGCCCCGGGGGGTACTGTTTTTCCGCTAAATGATTTTAAAACAAAGCCTTTAAAATTTTTTTACTGGTTTGGGGGATTGCTGGGGTCTTTTTTTTGTCCATTAAAAAATTTTCAAGGTTTCAAGTACGTTTTACTTCTACTTTTCACTTTGGTCCACTCACATACATGTACAAGCATATTTTTTTTTAAACAACCCCCCGGGGGTTTTTTTTCATTTTCTTTCCCAGTTCTGGGTTTTTTTTATTTTCCCCTTTTTCCCTTGGGGTTTTGGGAAAAAAGAATTCTTCCCCTTTAAAGCCATGCTTGGGTTTTAAGGGCGGGCTAAAATTTTGGGAGCAAGGGGTTGTAACCCCCCTTTTCCTGTATATATTACTAAATGTAAAAGGAGAAAATTTCTTTTTCCTTTTGGGGGCCCCCCGCCTGGTGGGTTTTTGGGCCCGTGTAAATTTAAAAAAGAAATAAAATAATAATAAATAATTTTAATAATAATAATAATAATAATCTTTTCAAAAAAAAAAAGGGGGGACTCATTCCCCTTGGTAAACCCCCCGATAGACTTCTGTTGGGGAAAAAAGATAATCACCAACAAAAAACCACTTTCTAATTTTTATTATTATTAATTTTTATTATGATAAATTAAAAAGGGTGATGTTTTCTTATTACAGAGAGGTTTTACCTTAAATGGCCAAAACAGGTTTTTGGCCATCTGTGACATTCTCGCAGATAAGGGGGATCTTTGAGTTCATGTCAGAATGCACCACCAAATTTTACACCCCTTCTGCCTCTACGCGCCCCCAGAAATAAAGACCTAAAGGATGCATGTAAGATAGTTTTAAATAGTTTCTTTGTATAAAGGATTATTTTATTTTTTTTTCCAAGGGGCCCATTCCCACCCAGGCAGGGTTGGGGGCCCAAAAAAAAAACTTTTTTACCCTCATTCACTCCCTTTACTGTCTTGCCCGAAAGGGGGCTTTACCTTCGTTTTTAAAAATGCAACCCTTTTAAAAGCCCTGGGATTTATAGTTTTTTTTTTATTTATTTATTAATTTTTTAAAATGATTCCGTTAAGGGACAAAAATAAAAGTTTTTTACAAATCATCATGCCAAAGCCCCTTGTATGCAGAGCATTATGGGCCCGGGTTAAAATTAAAATTTAAAAATTTTAAATAAGCAATGATTTTTATTTTGCGGGAAAAAAAATTATTGTAAAAAAGTAAAAAAATTTTTGCACAAATGGGGTAAAATTACAAAGACCCGGTCCCAAAAGGGCATTTACTGTGTTTTAATAATGTTGGTAGTTTTTCTTGCAGTTTTTTTAAAAATTTCCTTTGGGGGAGTTAGAAAGTTTTTCGGCCTTCATTAAGGAACTTGGGCAGTGGAAGAAGGGGTTTTTTTGGGGGTTTGGGGGTTGTGCACGAGTTTGGGCTTAGGGATCACCCTTCTTTCGGCCCGGCAATCTTGTAGGAATTTTGGGCCTTTTACTTTACATTTACTGTGTTGCGAGCATTCATAAAAATGTAGAAATTTTGTTAGGTAATTAATTAAAAAAAAAAGTTTGATTGGGGGCCGGTTAGACTTTAGATAAATAATTAGAAACAATTTTCGAAAAAAAAAAATTTAATGAAAAAAAAATTTTAAAAATTTTTTTTCATTTTTTATTTAGTTTTGGGTAAGTAATGTTTTTGGAAGAGACTTGAGCTTTCTTTGTTTCTTACAAAACCCAAAAAAAATTTTTTTACACATTTGTTTAAACCCTTTTCCAAGGAAAAATTTCAAAGACTTTTGTTTTGCTTCAAAAGCGGGTAAGGGGTTTGTTGCTTAACATGTAAATCACACATTTTTGATTAACAAATAAACCCGCACTTTAAAAAAGGGGGAAGGGTTTCAAAAGACGTTTTTGGTTGGGCTTGGACCATTTTTCAAA